GACAGGGGTTATTGGTAGGGCAAACGGTATTAAATCAGTTTTTACTGTCGTTAACCATTTGGAAATGATGGATTTGTACAATGAGGCTCAAGATTTTTGTCAGTTTGAGTATTTTTGCATAGAGAGAGACACCTCAGTGCTATGTGATTTTACTCAGAGAACAAAATGACTTCACTGTTGTGAAACACACATCTAGTTTTTATAAAATGATCTCTGATATATGTTTCAAATAATCTCTATTAGTCTTGATTTTATTGTAGCCTTTTGTGGCTGAGAGCACAGTGACCTCACCGTCTGTGCTGACCTCGAGCTGTGCTTCACACTAGTGAGTCAGGTCGGCCTGAAATTCGTGTTCAGGTCTCGTTTACCCTTTGGGCTTACAAATAGATTCAGTTTGTATCTGGGAAGTCAATTCTTAGGTTTATATTTTAGACAGACTCTAAACTGCATGTATGCTGTTCAGTGTTTTAGCAAAAACTCCAAATGACAAAATAAGCTGTTATTGTAGGCAGCTGCTGTCCCCAATTTGTGCAAAATGTAATAGGATGTTAGCTTTTCAAGCACACATACCGGAAGTGTGCAAATTAAATGCTCTAAAATGTTTATTTCCATGTCCCCTTGTAAAATACACCCAATAGATGCTTGACATGACGCCACTAGGGTCACTAAGGACGGCACAGATGTTCCAGTCCAAAAAAGGAAAATAAGTTAATGGATGCAATTCAATTAATAGCATATATTATATATTATAAGTCAATATTCATGGTCTTTATGAAATAAATGACATGCTGTCACTGATTTTATATGATAATTACTTGATGTTGTTGAGGTTGATGTCATTCTCGAGTAATCTCAAAACCCTCTATCTAAAACATTTATATGATCAGCAGTGAACCACGGCTGATATCTATTATTCAATGAAAGACCAATATTGACCCAAATGTATTGGTCTTGCTCAGACCTGTAAACATCCTCTCTCTTTTTCAACATGAGCTCACTCTTCTTTGCTGGTAAGAAAGCAAAGACGAAACTATCTCCAAATTGAGTTTGGATCAAGACACAGCCTCAGCTCTGTCGCTCCTTTGTCTCAGTGGTTTTAAACATTTTTTTTTTTATCTCTGCTTGCTCTCACTTCCTCCGTCACTAATTTTAATTTCTTTCTAACCACACGAGCAGACATCCCTCATTTATCAAGCCGGCCCGTTTCACCATTAAAATCCTGCATTTTGCCAGTCAGTTTCCTCAGTTTAAACATTAATTCTAATGTGACAAAGCAAATCTGGGCATTTTACAGTTGATAATTTGTCTGAAGTTGAATACTGTACACATAATTTTGGGAAGAACAATTCAGGGAAATTAATTGGAGGAATTTCACAATTTTTAACTAAATTTTAAATACCAACATCCTCATTTCTGCATGTTTTAAGTAAATGTATGTGTAAAATAACATCATGCTAAGGTTTGCCGGAATATGAGAGAGTAAGAGACAGAGAAAGAGAGAAGTTGTGTGTGTGTGTGTGCAGACGTGTGTGAAAGGGAATGTGTCTGATTGTCAAGTGGGAGAAGCAACCCCCTTTTGTATTCTACAGTACTACAACCGCTCACATTGCTCCAGGCATGTCAGAGGAGAGGAGAGGTAAAAACTGAGGATAGAAAAAGACGAAATGATGATGGAGAAAAAGAGAGTCAGAGTCACAATTGAAGCATACTGCTGACAGGGTGTGGTCACTAACAGACAGAGGAAGATAAAGAAGGG